ATCAAATAGTATAACATATATATATATATATATTATGATATAAATAAAATAGTAATTTTTAATGATTAAAAGTGATGCAATATTTTTATTAAATAACTTTTTGAGAAGCTTTAAAATAATTTAAAATGAATTTTACTAAAATTTAACAAACACAGTTAGCTAATACTAATTTATAATCCAAGCTTCCATCATATACATATCATCCTAAAGAATAAAATATTAGCCTGATCAATCTTGTATTTGTTATCATTAAACTATACAGACAAGAATCTCCCCCTTCTTTATGATAACAAATCAAAATTAGCTACTTCAAGAAAAGGTGCAAATTGACCTTAATCCATACATAATTTATTTATCCACTTTAATGCATGCTTATGAAAGAAAATAAAATAAAATAATAATCAGATAATTTAAGCTGCCAACATATTTATTAACTTTCTTTTAACGTCATAAAAAAAAGACACGAATGAGCGACAAAAACTCATATAATTTTTCTTTTCCATCATAAACTAATATCTAACATTTTTAAATTTCATATAAGTTAACAAAAATGACTTTCATCTAAGATTTTAGTAAAAACATTAGCTATTTGTAATTCAATTGAAACAAATTCAACATCAACATCATTAGCACCATCAACTCTAACAAATTGATGTCTAGTCTCAATATATATAGTTCATGATTGTTGAAATGGATTTTTATTTAAACTGATAACACTAGTATTACCACATTTGGTGGGTGTGTCTTTTAAATTAAGTCCACATTCTTATGTTGTTGTTTTATCCATAGAGCTTAAGCAACACAACATCCTACAACTTAGTATTCACCTTCAATAGTAAATAAGACAATAAAATTTTGCTTCAGCATGTGTCTTTTTTTCTCAACCTTGTAACTAGCATAATCAACAAAGGAAAAAAAAAATAAATTACATCACATAAAAGTGAGTTTTTAGGACACCACAAATTTAGCCTAGATGTGCTTATCATATTTTAAATTATATGCTTAGCAATAGTTAACGAGTTTTATGGTTGGCCTATAAAATGAACGCAAACATATACAATAAAAATAATGTAAGCCATGCTCATGATGAGATTTAAATGTGAACTAATCATTCTTCGATAATTTTTTTATCTATAAGTTCAAGTTCTAGCTTTGTAGTTTGGCTCATTGGGGTCTTATTACATTTAGATTTTTTTTCAGTATTAAACCATTCAATTAAATCATTTGCATATTTAGTTTGATGCATAAATATATCATTTAATTGTTGTTTTACAAGAAGTACCAAAATGAAGTTTAGTTCTCCCATCTGAATTATTTCAATTTCTTTACTCATTATTGATGAAAAATCATGAAAAAAAGATTCATTAGAGCTTGCAAATAAACTAGCATCTATATAAATTTTAACAATAATGATATTGATTCATATATTCTCAAAAAAGAGATTGGTGTCTACTCCACCTTATTAAAATCATTTTTTTTATCAAGAAATTACTAAGTTATCATACCAAGCTCTAGGGGCTTATTTTAATTCATATAAGGATCAAATTAATTTGAATACGAAATCTTGGTGATCAATGTTCTAAAATCCCTTAGTTTATTCTACATAGGCATCCTAATCTATAAATCCATTTAATAAAAATTTCTTACATCCATTTAAAATTTTTTAAACTTTTTTTGGAAGGCAATGCTTTGGTAGAGTTGCCATCTTGCCTAATTTTTATTTTATAACACTTTTTTTTCTAAATAACTCACTTTCTTGGATCATCGCAATGATTATGATAAAAGGAGACATTCAAAAGAGAGAAAATATAATGCAATCAAACAAAAAAAATTTAAAAAAAAGGGGAGAATTTTTATAAGATAATTTTTGTGTGATAGATCTGAGGTATATGCCCAAAAGAAATGGGGTCAAAACTTTTTGAAAATGTTTCTACAAGTAAAACCCTATAAGAATTACCCACATATTAATTATATCTTGGGGGATACTCAATAAAACTCTTGATTAAAAAGAGTCGTGTATACATTTTTTATGATAATTAGTGAATAGGAATATCAAAGGTTAATATGGTCATCTCAACTAGGATCATCCCAATGAATCAAAGCTATATTGATCCATAAGGGTAGAGGGTGGATCAGTGTATTTCGAATGAGAGACAACCTATTAGAAAATGGGGCCTCGAAAATAATTTGTTCATCTTCTAAGGGTAGAGATAGCCTATCAGCCATAAGGGTAGATGGCAACAGACACATTTAACTTCTTTGCTACATAGGTTGGGGGAGTAGATGACGTGGAATGCATGAAGCGAAATGCCTACAACTTCATTCATAGAGAAAGAAAAAAATAGAATTGAACAAGATGATATTAAATTTCTGGCACAAATGTTCATGGAGAGACAAACTGAGGACAACATGTTCGTGTGGGACTTCCAAACCGATGAGGATGGTAGATTAAAAGGCTTTTGTGGAGTGATGGGTCTTGCAGGCTTGATAACAACTGATTTTGGGATGTCGTAATTATTTATACTAGCTATTGATACATCTAAAAGATATAGTCTTTATTTTTATACCTGTTTTTGAAATATACCTGTTTTTGAAATATTGTGTTTTAATAAAAGATATTTGTGTGTTTTTCTTTCAGGTACAATCAAATTGATGAAAAATTATGAAAGGAGTGAAAAAGAATCATATTTAGAGCAAAAATGAAGGAGTGAAAATGAACTAAGACGCTTGAGCACCTAGGACGGGCGCTTACGCGTTAGTTAAATAGAGAGAGCCGCCTAAGTGTTAGATACACCGCGTTTAAACGTCAAAAGTAGTTATTTCATGATACATTGAACTTGGATGAATTTTTGAAGAGGTGTTTGAAGCAACCCTTGGTGAAAATGTGAGAAATAGTTAATGGACCCGAAAAATCATTCAACTGACTTTTGAAAGGAGGCAACTTCTTGAAGATTCATTGAATGGGGACATATTTTGAAGAGACAACAAGACACATTTTGGAAAATTATAAAAAAAGAGTTGGATTGAAGAGGAAAGCGACCGATCTATAGCCAACCACCACACGCCGCTGCCACCTCCGCCCACTTTTTTTTTTATTTTAAGTTTTGGTTTGTATTGTAAGTGAAGGAAGAGATTCAAATAAACTTCAAGACTTTGATAGAAAGGATTTTGAGATAAGTTTTTATCTTTGTGACTACATTTGGTTTTAATTTAGACTTCTTGTTTGTGTGCATGAGTTCTACTTTCAATTTCAAGTGTGGTTGTGCTTTCTCCAGAAATTCTAAGTAGTTTTCTTTATCTTCTTTCTTAAAATGATAAGTGATTAAGTATTGGATGGAAGTTGTGTGAAGTATTAGAATTTAATGTTGGAAAAAGTTGTGATGATTTAAAACCTTTTGCTTTATTTACTTTATGATTTGGCCAATTAAGATGTTAATACCTGTTGTGAGAACATGTAAGATCCGAGATGACATTGTCTCAGCCAAAAAAGGGGTGATAATCATATTTGATTTCAAGGAAGAGAATGTAGTACATGGGGTTGAGCGCAAATAAATAAAAAAATAAACTTTGAAGGGTGTAGAATTAGACGAATTTAGAGTGAAAGACTAAAGTCCCCAATTTGATTTATAGTTTTTGGTTTTGATGCAAGATGTTAGCCTCCAGGTGAATGGTGAAAAGGGAACTCTAGAGTGAGAGCTAGTATCTTCCTTACCTGACCTGGCTTCAAGACTATTAAAACTATAGATTAACCACTGTTTTTTATAACATCTAGTAAGAGTAAAAAATATTATTGATTCTATTTGACACAACACAATTAAAATACTTCCACAACAGAATTCATGATAAGGAAAAATACTTTTTATTTATATTTATATTGCATTCATCTTGCAAATATCTAGTTAAGCTAGTTAGTTGCTTACTTTATTTTAAAATATCAAATATTAAAAAATAAAGAATCGAGCTCGAACTGCTTCAGACTATAAGTTCGAGCTCGTGTGACTTATTTATTATAAAAGAGAAAACAAAATTTATTTAAACTAATATTATAATAAAATGATAAATATAATGAGAAATTTGAGGATAAATAATAATAAATCACTTATTATAAAATATAAAATGTAATTCTTTTAGCATTTTTAACAATTTAAAGATAAAAGCTTAAAATTTAATATAGTTTGAGTATGTTTTATCTTAATATTTTTTAAACGAGCCGACTCACAAGCTAACGAGTTGAGTTGGATCTAGGTTGAGTTGGCTTGTTAAATGATCAGCTCTCCGGAGGAAAGCTACTTTGCACCACTGATAAACATCTAAATAGAAACTGTCAAAGGCTTGAGGAATAAGGTCTTTGTCATTGTCAGTCAACTAAGTAGACCGAAGAACCTCTGTTGTGAATTTGCAAATATGAGTGAAGAGCATGCGACGAAAAAAAAGGATGGTGCAAAGCAGCTTTTGGCATTTTAAGGAAAAAAATCCCCTATGCAATTCTTTTCGTTCCGAAAGAATTCAAGTACCTTACCCTCTATCATTGGAGCTCAACTTATGAGCCACTTAATTATAGAGTTGAGCCTAATTTGATTCACGAGCCACTTTGACTCATTTACACTCCTAGTATTTATAAGCATGTTGTGTGCTACTATTAATTTTTTTTCTTGTAATAAATAAAAATTTTAAATTTTCCCAATCAACCAAAAAATAAATAAATAACTTTCACTCTATCTCTACTATACAAAATAAGTAATAAAATAAATGATTTCAATTAAATTCCCTTTACCATTCTCTTTATTTCTATTTCTATACTTTGCACTCAAATTTTTTTCATATGTAGTACTTTGCACTAATTGTTGCTTCATGGAAGTTAAAGATGAACATAACTTACATATATAAAATTTAAGTAAGAAAACAATTGATTTTATTTGATTATTATAAAGCTCAATATAAATTACAGATAATTTTCAAACAAGAATCATTCTTTGAATCCTTGAATATAATTTGATTTAATTTTCATTAGATTTAAAATTATAAAATAAACCAAGTTATACACTGCAAGCATTTGATAATATAATCATATCATTATAAGGCTTTAAATGTGGATTAAAAACTAACCAATTAAGATCTATCAGGGATCACAGATAACTCGCACCTGGTATAATCTAAAATTGCTTAGAGCCTTGAGTAATTGAAAATTATATTTTAGAAAATTACCTAAATATTTTATTTTACCAATCCTTTTTCTCTATAGTTGACAAATTCACACAAAAGACTTTTGACTACTTTATAGCAAAAAATTATTTATATGAAGAGCTTATCAACTGGTCAACCGGAATAGTGTATGCAAGTATGTATATCGTTCAAGTAATATATATTTGAAAATGATATTATTCCCATCACTAGAAAAAAAAAACATTTGTTACAACAATTTATTAATATTTATATCAAAGCATTTAATTTGTATTGCTCTTAAACCGTTTTCATTCTATCCCAGCAAAACCCATCGATGCGCTCTCCCCTTTGCCTTACTTTAATTAGAAAAACCTTCTTCTTTTTCTGGAAAATCCCTTTTAGCAAGAGCCTTTCCTAACACCTAGCCGACTAATTTTTCACCGCATCTACAACCGTCTGGTAGACCGATCAAATAGTATAACCTTGAACTTGCCACAAAATGGGTTTTTCCTATTTCGATCTTGGTATTCATTCAGTTGGTCTACTTTATGTGAGTTTAGAATTTGTTTTCATATCTATAGAATTTGATTTTATTTGTTTACCCTTTTTTTAGTGTTTAAGGTTTGTTTTAATCGCATGGAAATCAGATTTTTTTCAAGAAAAAATGGATTTTCATTTCAACTTTTCGCAGTTTCTACATGATCAAGGTTTATTTTCCCTCTAATTTGAGAATTGGTAGAGAGAACAAGGAAGAAGAGGGACTAGATTTTGGTACCAAGAAGAGACATAACGTTAATGTAATTTTTAGATAGATGCCTTTAAAAATAGTTCGTCTAAATTTTCAAAAAGATACACTTGGGTTTAAAGTCTAGTTCCAATTCTGTGACTTCAGCTTTGGGCTTTAAGGCTTAGTTGATCCAAACATATATGGGGGGTGTGTGTGCATTTG